GAGGTGCAAAAACAGGAAGCAACAAAAGTTTGCACTATGTCAAGGAAAATTCCAGTATCTTTTTTTTTTAATTCTGTAAAAGCGGGCTATTTGAGCAGACGACAAAAGAACCAAACATGGAGTTGAACTAGCAGAAATATTTGCATCTAAGGATCTGTGGCAAACATATGTGAAATTACCAAGAAATGGAAAACTCTTCCTAATTTTAACAGCGAAGTTTAGGAATAAACGTATTTAATTAATCCATACCGAACATGTATTTATTGCACATCTACATTTGATTCAATCTTTCATCATGTTATTGTTCTTTGATTTTGATTCACTTTTACCATTTCATTATTATTCCCGTCCTTTTATTTCCTGATTTTTATTTATTTGTGGAAAGAAATACGATACCGATTTTGTGCCGAAGCGAAGATTGGTCTTAGTCAAGTGACAAGGCCCTGAAGTTGCTGGGAAAATCATGAAATGGTGTGTATTCAAATGTTCAAGGTGTGTGTGTGTGTGTGTGTGTGTGTGTGTGTGTGTGTGTGTGTATTATAGTATTTTATGCCAACACAGCTATTCACTTTGTTTAAAAAAAAAAAAAAAAACAAGGAGCGTATAAATCATCTCGCCAAACATGTTTCCGTTGTTTTCATCTTCCCATTATGGCTGTCAATGAAACCATGGAGCTTCCACTTCCTGTAAAATTGCATTAGATTTCCAATATCCCTGACGCGTTTTTCCATCTTTCACAGATCAAGACTTTGCAGGCTTGTTGGATGAAAAATTATCAATACAAGATAAAGCATCAGCGAAAGAGTCAAAACCGTTTGCCCACATGCTCTTGGTGCCCAGCATTAATTATGAAGCCACTGGCTCAGAACTTCATTTTCAATGCATGGTTGAGGTCAACCCCAATGTTTGATTCAGCGGTGCATTTGTTGAGTAAAATGCAAACAATAAAAAGGCTATTAAAGCTCGTACATGACTCCTCCTTTTTCTCCTCTAGTAAATGCTGGGAAATATGGAGGGTGGAGTTTGTTGGTGTGAGAGGTTGTTAGTGTCTCTTCTTTTTTCAAAGCAGTTTACCAAAGCTTAAAGTTGGGTGTGGGGGTCGAAAAAAAGGCAAAAACTGAAAAAGAAGCGGGTGGAATGTCTGTGTGTTACAATTAGGGTGTTCATCTCTCCACAAAAGACTGTTCAGTACAGTTTTTGAGAGGTGGGGTGGGAAAGATTCAAGAACGGTTCGATTTGTGGGAAGATTTGATCCAGGCTGGACTCGCTTGGATTACGATTCGATTCGATATGGTACGATGCGGGTATGATGTGATTATTTTTTAGTTGTCTTTTTAAAGACATTTGAATGAACTTGTCAGTACCATTTACTTCTAAGGTATATATCCATCCATCCATTTTCCAATCCGCTTTCTTCTCACAAGGGTCACGGGGGGGGTGCTGGAGCCTATCCCAGCCGTCTTCGGGCAGTCGTCGGGGGACACCCTGAACTGGTTGCCAGCCAATGGCAGGGCACACAGAGACGAACAACCGTCCGTGCTCACACTTACACCTTGGGACAATATAGAGTGTTCAAACAGCCTAACACACATGTTTTTGGAATGTGGGAGGAAACCGGAGTACCCGGACAAAACCCACACAGGCACGGGGAGAACATGTAAACTCCACATCGGAAGGCCGGAGCCGGATCGAACCCATGACCTCTGCACTGTGAGGTTGACGCGCTAACCACTTGACCGTCTTGAAATATATGTATCTCCAATAAATAAAAGAAAAATCGCTAGGTATCGCGATATATGTCAAAGTAGAACAATTCGGTTTGGCTCAATTCAATGCACTTGCATCTTTTAAATGTTAAAAAAAATAAAATAAAAATTGAGCACTCATAACAGTATACACTTCAGGTGTGACTGATTTCTCAAGGTAGCTAAATAAGTCATCATCACCTATAGCAAAGATATGCTTCAGTGGGTGGCTACCGAAAAGCGTTATGACAAACTTCAGCGCTCCTTTGTTTTGCACTCCTGTTTAATAAAAATGGATTTACTATCTTAATAACATGTTAATCTCAAAACACAAAGGCGCCAGGGTTATGACTCTCTCAAGCCATCCACCAAATTTCCTGTTTTCCCCAATGACATCCGGAGAGGGCTATAAAAGTGGATAGCAACCATTAAAAAGACACGTGTCAATATCAGCAATACAGCCTGACCAAGCTTCTTATCAATGATGTGCGGCTGGGTTTCAAAGTCATTCATAAAATGCAAAGGCAACAGAAAAGTGATTAAAAAAAATTCAATATGAGAGGATAATCTCCCTCTGAACTCCTGTTTCGATGCCAGCATTGAGCATATACACACAGTAGTTGGTTGTCTTCCACTGGAGGTCTCTGTAGATGTTGCGCAACTCCTCCGAGCTGATATAATGTTGGACAAACTACACCAAAAAGTTTTGATGAATTGACGCGAATTTATTTGGTAAAGTTGTAGCACCAAATAAAGTCATCTGGATCCAGATAAAAAATTTTTGTGTAGACTCTACGTCGACTTTTTCTAATGTACCTGGAAAAATACAGACTATGCATTTACTTCAAAAATGTTTCTGCATCCAGATGATTTTATTTTGTGCAACCAGTTGACGAAATAAAATTGAGAAAATACAACACGCCATTTTTCCTTCCAGTGTCGTTAAAAGTGAATCAACAGTTCCACTATTGTTGCAACCAAGTAGTAGACCTTCATTTTGACCTTCTTGGAAGGCATGATTCAACAACCAACTTCACATAATTGAAGATTATTAAAAAATAAACAATGAAGAAAAGCCCAAACTCAAAAGACAGTCATCCATCCACCCACCCTCTTTTTTTCTTTTTCTTTTCTTTTTATACACCGCATGTACCAAGGAGGAATGTCCTATCCCAGATGACTTTGGGCGAGAAGTGTTGTATATACTGGATGGATCTCCAGCCACTTGTAGGGCACAACACTCTTTTATATGGCGTGTCAAATTTAGAAGCCGTATTTATGTTACTACACTGTTATTACAATGACAAAAGTTTTTTTTTTTAATCGACTTAATTTTATTTTGTCAAGTGGTTGCACAAAATAAAATAATCTGAATCCAGATACATTTAAGAACATTATATATCTACTTAAAAAAATGTACTGTATCTGGATCCAGATATTTTTATGTGTGCAACCACAATAAAATATATATATTTTTTCCGTTTAAGCAAGAGCCGATGATTCCGCTAAAATATCCTTGCAGCAGTTTGCATTTTTACAGTTTCTTCCTGAGATCAAGGTTGCTGGTTTAATTGAGCGTGTACTAGACCCATGGCTGAGAAAGCGGGCAGAGGAGCATTGATAAACTATAAAATGGTTCCAATATGGTCGATCGATGAGGCTTTGTGAGCAGCTCCCTTGAGGCTTTGATTTTCCACTCAAACAACAGTCCGGGATCTCTGCTCTTCAAAGGCAATCGTCATCTTTGCTGTTATTGTTCTTGTTGTTTTCTCCCCTCCATGTTTGAGTGATGTCACTGAGGTCGATTTTATCCATGTCCATAAAGGCTCTCCCACACTTGAATCACCCAGGAGACGGCATCTGCTGGTCTGTGCAATGGTAACAACCGCCAATAAAGGTCAATCTCCCATGGTAATAGCCAATTGGGTTTGTTCCCATTATTGGCGCTCTGAGCTGTGGTCAACAGATGGAGAACTGGCACCACCGCAAGTTACGCTTGCAGTCGAAGATGGCTCGCTTGGTTCAGTCTTGAAGCAATCTTGTGCTTCAGCTTGCGTCGGTCTGCACATCACTCCATCATCCACAGTGCCCATATGAGGAGACTTGTCGCCGTTGCGTCACAAGAGCGTCGCCAGTGAGGGCGAACTGTCTAACCATTTCTGCTAATTGCCTCATTAATGATTCACCAATGTTAGGCTGCTCTAGCACTTCGCTGCGGGGAGCAAATTGTTCTGATTGGTTTGCCTCTGTCAATTATTGATGAGGCGGTGAGCTGAAGTGCTAACACCTGGCTTTGCAGGTCCAAATGGCCGTGCATTCCCATCACATACTCTGTTATCACACACCCTGGGACCACATTGACTCTTGAGGAGCTGCGGGGTCCTGACTGCTGCTTTTTCTCTCAGAGTGGATGTAGCATGCCCGGGGCAATAGCTGTGATCTCTGCGGTGAGGTTATTGGCTCTCTGCTGTGCAAAAGGTGGACAATGCAGCGATGGAGTGCTTGTAGCAATTCGTGGTTTGAAGTGGGATTGCCACATGGAGAGAGGCAATTGATATGACTGGGGATCTATGACACAACAAAAACTTAGAATATCCCTCAATAAAGCGTAAACTTGCGCCAAGCTGGAAAGACCGTCTGAATATGAACACTGGACATAGCAAGGAACAGTGTCAAAGGTTACAAGAACTGAAAAAAATCATCCTCAGTGTGCCACAAATAAGCAGTAAATATTAAATGGCTCTTTTGTGTTTTTCATAAACATTTACGTACTGTATATGTGCAGCGTAAAACACAACAAACAAAACTTAACATGCTACACGGACACCTTGGAGTAGCGCCAATGTTAAGATCGCTCGTCTACCTTTGGCCTTAATTGAAGCTGAATGAAGAGTCAACCCCCGTGCAGACGACACTGTCGCTCTGCATCTCTGCCAAGTGGGCTCGCCGTGTACACTCACAGGGTGGTCACTCTGCCTTTGTTTTTTACACTGGCATCGGTGACAGCAGAGCCCTCCCCACCCCATATATAATGCGACCGTGACTCACTGTATGTCACCATAATTCCTGCAGGGCTGAGACAAATGTACCATACAGCTCGTAATGCGGTCTTCAGTTTCTCATACTTAACATTATGGCGATTGTATGGAAGCACGACAACGCATGTGTGAGAATGTGGTTGTCTGAATCACACTTAGTAACTCCACTTTTCTTTTTTCTGTGTGTTCCCGCCCTCTCCCTTCTTACTTTTTTCAGACAACTCCACAAGTGAGCAGTGAGGACATCAGAGCGGCTGGCCAATCGCATGAAGACACCAACAAAGCACAACATTCAAAAATGTCTTCGCCGGGGGAGGAAGACAGACCGGCTGATAGCCCTCCAAATTGCTACTTTTGACTCTTCCCTGATATTTTGCTTCCAGCTTTTTTTTTTCTACAAAACCTGAAAAAGGGGAAAAAAGACTACACTCAAGAGACAGTGACATCAGGAGGACTATTTTCCTTTCGGCAGGAACCTCACTAATGCATGCTCCTGTAAATAGATCATAATAAAACCGTACCCACACTCCTAATGCGGGCCGCATACCAAGTCGTTCTCACCATCCCATAAACCTTCATGACTGTGTATAGTCCTCATGGCCCACCATTTTCCAAATGAAGCCACTATCCTTCTTGTTCCAGACACCATGTAATTATCATTTCCAGTATCATTTCTCGTCAGCTTATTGGGACTGTTAAAAAAAAAAAAAACAAAAAAAGCAAAAGTTGCTTCTAATTATTCCTGGCCTGGTCTTCCCCCTTCAGTATTCTCTTTAGTACATGTAAATAGAGACGAATGAAGAGAAAAGCATGAAACACTATACATTGCATAGTGTATCACGGCAGTTCTTCAGTACCATATTGTAGATCGCAACATTCATATGTGGATATTTTAGAAATAATTTCCAACAAAATTTTAACTTGTTTTCTAATACAAACACTCTATTATGTCTTTTTTGCCAGACTGCATTAAGATCTTACATCGAGGTAAAACTATTTGTAGATCAGCTTTTGTGACGTTACAAGGTAAAAATCACAAACAATTTCTACCGGTAAAAATGAAACCGCGGCGAAAGGGAAATGTCTGTGTTTCAAGTGTTCAACATGGCTTGGAAAAAGTTTCTTCATGCTGGTGTGATTCAGATGTTTCCATCATTCCTGCCCCAACTCGTCGTTTAGGTGGCAACTTTTTTCTTTGCATGGATGTCGGTGCTCTCATTCTGACCTAATAAATGGGGCAAAGAACACCTCCTCGATTGCAATGTCAATGAGGACACCTCTGTCTTCTGTGGACCATTATGATTACCAAAATGGCCTGACAGATCAAATGCCAAACCAGTGGACGGACGACCTCAGTGGGAATGAAAGACAGCCTTTACACGGTCAACAGGGAACCTGAACACTGCAGGTCCACCATATAACACCCCCTACCTCTCAGTGAGTGATCTGCACAGAGGCGTCTGTCACTTATTTCCGACTCCTTCAATCTGCTTCCCTGCTGCATGACTCGAGGAGAACCATGCTCATTGTTGGATGCTACAAGCGGACGTTTGACTCGAGGAAATAAAACAAGTGTTCACTTGGACGCTCAATGAAATAAGCTAGCACGGGTTAAGCAGTTCACAACCAAAACATGGCACTGCTCAAATATACCACTGTATATATGTACAGTATTTCCACAATGTATAGCCAGAGATGCTGCATGTTGTGTTAGAACTTGATCACTACATACCGTAGGTCTCATCACAACTCACGTAGTTTCAGCTCACCTATTCCAATAGTGAATGTTGTTACACAGGCGAATAGGCAGCAGCAGAGTCCATAACTCTTAAACCTTTTTTAAAGAAGACGTAACCTCACTTTTGATGTTCCACACAACCTGGTCACAGTGTGCGTGGGTGGGGGAAGAGAAGAAGGCAAAGCGAACTGGGGCGCGCCAATTAAATGGCAGCTCACAAAGTGGTTCGGGGCATCCTGCCAGCAGCTGTCTATTCATCCAACGTCAAAGGGATTTGTACATCTCAGCGAGTCGAAACGCTGCCAGAGAAGTCCATAACCGAAGTAGAAGTTCTGAAAGTATCCAACATTTGGTCGAGTGCACTTTTGGTCCGTTTGCACTTAAAGGTAATTGTTTGCGATCAACAGCAACGTTGAAGAGCTCAACTCCCCTCATTTACCTTTTTTGCGAGCATATTCTGCTGCTAACAATCTAGGGCTGTCATGACCATGTCCTGCTTGACGTTTACTTTGTGCTAATTAGCACTGCCATCGGCTCACCCAGATGCTTGGAGTGGAGGTTAAATACTGTATATGATTCCCAAACTACGATGCTCTTCTTTTCCTACCACTGTTTAACCCTTTCAGGGACGGCGGTCACTCCAGTGGACAGCTTATCATGTTATCAGGTTACAGGTTATCGTTATTGGTGCACGAAAGGGTGAATTAAAGACAATGCCTTTTAAAATACAGTATCTGCAGAAGGCTCCTGACGTGACCATTGGGCAGAATTGCCGAACCAAGACCCTGCCAGGGTCACGATGTATGCCAACATTCAAAAGAGGGAGAGCGAACAATATGCAGAACAAAATATAGTATGAGCACACAAACACAGAAAAATCTGTCATTTTCGCGGCCAGACACACACGCTTGGACGCACACAGACTAATCTAGAGAGCGAGGCGGCACAGTATGTAAACAGATCGTTGACATAATGGGATTGTTCAGTGTGCAAACAATAAGCTGTTAGCGTAATCACAGGTCAAAGATATATTACCCAGTTGGCCATGTTGTAGGTATATTAACATGATGGATATGCGGGTGTGAGGGGGGGGGGGTTCTGTTGGCATGTAAATGATAGGCAACTATGGATGTAGAGTCAACCACGAGTCTACTTTTCTCTCCTTTGTGCTCTCCTGAATCAGCTTTTCCACCCATCTCTTAATGAGATGTTTCTCCTATTATAATATATATAATTATTAATTATCAATAAATAAACTCATCGATTCATCTTCCCATCAGACCAGCCCAAGTGTAATCATATTTTCTAAAGATGAGTTTACTAATTAACGTTGTAGCTGCACATTTCCGTGCCGGGAGTCCATAAGTGTCAGTCAGGATGAAGGATATTGTCTACCCTAGTGCACTGTCAGCTAATTAACTTATGTGGCCTTTAATGGATTGATTAACATCTTACCTATTCATTCAACTAGTTGGAAAGTATGTGTCTATCCGACTAAACACCCCATCAATGACACCATTGGCTTTATGGACCATGGAAACTGATTCACAGGGGCGGGGCAATCATTAATAACAACTTTAATGGAGAGGATAAGTAACAGAATAAGTGCTAAAATCCAAGACCACAAGAAAGCCTTTGGTGGATTTAAAACGTTAGCTTCACTTGCTATCAAAAATTATTGTAAAACCACAACCTTGCATCGTAACAAAAATGTGTTGTCTGTCACATGGACGCAAAGTGTCTGACGGCTGGTGGGGTGTCACAATTAACAGTGACCTCAAGCCAGACATGTTTGGGGTAGTGGGGTCAAAGGTGACAGGATTACAGTGAGACAACTAATGGTAATTGCTCTGCTTTTAACCACCATCCTTGGGCAAAAAAACTACTCTTCGGAAGCGATGCACGTGTGTTGACAGACAATTGACTGTGCACAGTATTGTGTTGATGATAGAAATATTCACTTTGTCAAGATGTCATGATATAAACAGACGAGAGCCAGACAGACACTAGATTAGTTGTATGAAGCGGCTAAGACTGAGCATCCCGCCTGAGACCATACTGTACCGTTAATGACAGGGATGAATATTAGGGCATTTAAAGCCCATCCTCCCTCCTTATTTTGGCCAGCGCATACGCTTCAGCCTTGTTATGAACCGTTCGCCATCAAGCCGTTCGCTGAGATGTCGTCGCCCAAGAAGATTTAAGGAGGAATATGGAGAATCGGATTAACAAAAAAAAAAAAAATTGAGCGGACCTGTGAGTAATGCCATTGATTAAATGCCGTAAACCAAATCTTTAGCCTCTGAATAGTTAAAGGGGGCGCAAAGCAGATGCTTTCAACTTTTTTTGTGAAGCCCTATAAAGGAATCCGACAGTATCAAGGACAAAACATATTGACTTTGTTCAAATCAAGAAAGGGAGGGATTTATGAATACGTACAATCTTGCTGTTGAAATAAATAAATGGCCAGAAGGTGTAGACAGGTGGTGTTCCACCCCGCAATGTTTAGCTGTTAAAGTCTGCTTTCTGACAGGGTTGATTTACTACGCTATTTGCATGCTTTAAAGCACAATTGATGAAGCTAATGTATTTAAAAAATATCAAATGGACTTGCTGGCAGCTGAGACTGGCTGATTTAAAGCCATGTAAAGACGCTTTGCTCCTATTCAGACGGAGGTATCACAGGCTGTTACAACTGCTGGCTGGACTTCATGATTCACAATGTGAATGAGGCAAATGGCTTAAGAGGAGAAGGTCGGATGCGCGCTATTCTCCCTGCTGTGAACAAGGCGTAATCCTTCAGTTTAAGAGTAGTGAAACGTTTGTAGCAATCAAGACAGTTATACATGTATCCCTTCCTCCTCTGTGACACGGCAGAAAGTGGAGGACAGTAGGGACAACCAACAAAGCGGTCCACTTAATGAACAGACCATCAACGGACCTGACAAAAAAGTGTTGCGGACTGCAAAAAGAAATACACATTTGCACACGTGTGATGCGATACGACTAACACTTGATTTGGGATTGCTTTGTTCTCACAGCCGGGGAGTTGGTTTCAATTTCAATCATGATAGCTGGCAAGCAGAATTATGTAAACATGACTGAAACAATTTACATCAAAACGTGGAGGGGTGGGGCCGTACTGTCGATCCAAGATGTCTTTTTTTTTTCCTTTTTAACACTTTTTTTGTGTTCCACTCCATTTAAAATGTCATTAAAACACCCCCGTCTCGTTGAAGAGGGCCACTGGGATTGTGGACTGTATTTAGTGTAAAAACTGCTGCTGGTCGACAATTACGCCTCCTCATATCACATCAAAATGGCCCCCATCTCAGTTAGCAGAGGTTAATTTGAGTACGCCCTATACTGTTGTAAAGGTGGATATTATTTCCCACATGGGTTTGAATGAGGACTTTGATTATTCAAAAAAAGTAGGCCCTGGGCTGGCTCCGTTATCGTCAGAGGGGTCGTAAGCTGCGCTAACGGCTTCTAGGGCCTTATTGCAATGGCGATCAGCCCCTTGCCACTTGGCCTCTGTGACCCCAGTCTGAGATAAGCTTCATGGGAAAGCACATTAACATGCTCCTGGAGTCACTTGCCTCCTTTATCAAAGGCGGTTATGTGAAATCGAGTGTTCATGGACCTCAAGTGAGGAAACAGGACTGCCTCTCCGAGAAGCTGAGTG